CAGATCTAGTTATTTAGCTACAGGTGACAGATTCTGTTTGCTCTTTCTTGCACAAAGTAGCCCAACTGTTAACTTAGAACAAGACTATTAAGGTCAGTGCCGCAAAGGTGACGTTATTATCAAACTGAATTCGAAATTAAGTTATAAATAAGATCACAAGTAAAGTATTACACACTATTTAAAAAAGTTAGGTAAATTTCATGCTCTTCATGTTTTATTGCACTTAAATCCTCACCCTGAACAGAATACGTTTCACGTGCTAAAATTTGAAAAGATTGGAGCAAAATTTGAGAGATGTGCATATTTGATAACCACATCTCTCAAATTAGTCAGATATTATATACCATGTTTTTGCTTCTACTTGTCATTAGGATGTGTTGAAAAAGCATATCGGTATTACAATACAATGCTTGAACACAAGATGAACAGCAAGGATAAAGGTAATCCATCCACTTTAAAATTAGATTGAGGGTTTTTTTCGCACTTTTGGACGAAACCAAGGATTAATACAATCCTATGCTAGAAGCTTAATATTAGCAAACTTAAAACAGAGCAATCAGTTTTAATTTCCTATTATGGTATACTATTTTACATAAAAAAATAATGTGAGAAAAATCACCCAGAGTTCAGATCTTGATTACCAAGTGGCTCATTGTTCACTTGGTGGCCCTGAAGTCTCTTTATTGGAATTACAGAGTTCTGGATATGTTGCATGCATGAAAACTGTTGCTTCACAAGCTGAAACGTCAGGGGTATCCACACAGTTCAAAAAAGAAATTATCTATAATAAAAAAACGTAATACCAGGTAAAGTTATGAAAGGCAATCAGATCCCCAAAGTGTTTGAATGAAAGATTTTCACTCCCCAGCACAGTATTAACAAAAGCGGATGATAGGACGGACAAGTAATATAGAGTTCAAGAAAAGTTTACTTTTTTAATGATCAAGAAACTTCAACACTCAAATTTGTTGTATTTTTAAGGATTAAACCATGTACAGGAGCATATCTTGAACTTGACCATACCTATAATTATAAGCTCGTGACACAGTCTTTAAAAATCTATATATATATATATATATATATATCTAATAGCCATGTCTGTCTGCCATGCTCTTTATCTCC